AGGGAAGAGAGAGAGAGAGAGAGAGAGAGAGAGAGAGAGAGAGAGAGAGAGAGAGAGAGAGAGAGAGCGCACCGGTATATTTAGCAATACACACGTCGGAATTTCCATAACGTTGGCGAAGCCGGGCATGCTCGCCTCTGCTACATGTATATTTTCGCAATACGCGTACGTGGCTGTATTAATAGAGCGTGTCGCAGTAAAATTAGAGCGCCGTGAGAAAATTCGCTTCGCCGGGAGGCGCTTTCGTTCAAGACACCGTCTCCTCTTCTCGCTTCTCGCAACAACAAATAACCCGACGGCGGTGTTTTAATTCGTTTATTTAAAGGAACGTAGAAGATATCGCGCTTTAAACTCGAGTTATTCCGATTCCATTTCGTTAAAATATTACCCCGTTGGTACCATCGTTTTTTTTTCTCGAATTATGGCAACAGTTCGGAAGATATACTTACGTAAGGATACGTAAGATATTTACATTCCGCTATCGCACTTATAATGCGATTTACGGCAGATCATACCAGTCGAACCGGGTATACACGGCCGCACGGGCAGTAAAACAAAATATTTATGCGCGCGTAAAAAGCGCCCCTCCCCCTTCTCCCCCCCTTCCCGCAAACGCCGGAAGATGCGTTCTGTGCATTGCTTTTTCCAAGATACAATACAGGGATAGCGCGCGCGGGGGGTTCGGAATCAGAGTCGGGAATCGGATAAAATAAAGGCGGGCGTGCAGCACCGATGAAATTCATGGTAGAGACGATGTTTGCTGGCGATGATCACGCGATCTCGTAAAACCCGATGCGGTTCTATTCTCGTGCTTGTCACGCCATGTTGCATAGTCAGGCAGACATTCACCCTAATGCAGCAGAGTCGACCGAATTTGAATAGTAAATTTCGCTTATGGCCGAACTTTCTGTCCTGACAACGTCGGGGCCCCCGCTAACTAAACCAATTACGGAACTTTTTAGGATCCGACAAAATATTTATACCGCGCGTTTTAGCGAAATTTTCCCACTGAATATACCGTGCGATTGAGGCTCTTTTTTTTTCTCTCTCGGAGGAGTTTAACAAACTATCGTTACTTCTCGCAGTACTTTCACGTATAACTTGAGCTACAAACGGCACATTTTCGTCCATTCGAAATTAAGAAAGAGATTACAGAAGAAGGAGAAGGGAAAGAAGCGGGGAAGCTCTCTTCGAGAGAGGGGGGAAGATTTAAAACTCGTTAACGGCCCCGTTTATCGGCGGGACCACCCCCTCAGCACGCACGAGCTGCTGCATCGCAAAGTGCACGCGAATGCATATGCTTTCGGTGGCCGCTCGGCGTGCATATTGTTGCCGGGTACAAAGAGAGCCCGGCACGCATTACAGGGGCGGATCCAGGGCGTATCCGAGGAAAGACGGTCGCAAATCATCGTTTACGATTTCCACTGACGGCAGAACGCGAAATTGCCACCTTCCACGAATTGCAATCTGCAATTTCCACTTCGACGGCTCGCCGGTCATGTGAGCTCGCACGCGGACGCGAATGTCGGTTTAGCTCTAAATCGCGAAAGAGGACGTGCGCGTTAACGGCTTTCAACCTGAGGATAAAATGGACGCCGGTATTACGGGGAGGAGGGGGGGGGGGCAAAGCGCGTTGCATTAAAATCATTTTGCACGAAAATACAGGTATGCCCTTTTAATCCGACCCTGACGAATAACGCCGGTGGACCTGTGCGGGGCTGTGCGTGTTTACCGCGGGGAAACATCAAGCCCGCTGACACACGGTGAAATATGGGGTCGAAGCGGGTGTGGCAATTAAAGCACACGGCCCCGCGCGCGCGTGTATTGTAACGTGTGTACGTGAGCACAGTGTGTGCACGCACACGGATGTACATCCGCGAGGGAGCGGGCGTACGCGAGCGCGGCAGGAAAAACTGCCGGCGAAAACGTGAGCGGCGTTAAAAAGAGTTATGCGCGTGGGGGCCGATGAGCGGGCCCTATTTACGGTAAAAATGGCCGATTACGCGCGACGTCATGCGAATGTAAGGGCTTTTACGCGCGGATGTCAAGCGGAATGACCGGTAATCTGTCCCGCCGGTGAAAAAGGGATGCGAACATGACCGGCAATGAGTGCGCGCGATTTTGTAATCGTCGCACGCGACTTTGAGCCGCGACAGGGTTGATGATCATCGCACGAGTGTTCCTAAATCGTGACGGATTAATTTCGAATTAAATTAATTGAAAGTATAGAATTGTGCGCCGCGAAAGTCATCGCAATTTTGGAGTAGCCAATATTTGAGAAATGTTTCCACTAATAATTTTGTCAAACGTTCGAAAGCGCTTTGACCATTTAATTCGTGTATCGAACTGGAATTAATTAATTACATACGTTTGAAAGCTTTCATTATTTATTTAACACTTGTCCGAGTACGGTTAATTGACTACTTTTTATTCTTCTCTCGTCGAATTTACGGGGTCTTATCCAGCGTCGAAGTTGCCTCGCGACCGGGTCAGGGCGGCGATTTAAAGAGGAAGCGACCGAAGGGGGGAAATTCTTAATGAAACCGCTCGCGATAACATCGTCGAATTTCCGTCAGAGCGCGGCGAACGCGGCAATATCTCGACGCAGTGATTTGCGTCCTCCTGAAAGAACCCGCGTATCACGCGACACACACACATACACAGGCAGGGTACGGCACGCGAGATTTTACTTAGCGCGAGCGGGCCGGTTCATTAGCACGCGAGTCGGTCGCCCTGTCCGAGGCCCGACTCGAGCAGCGGTCGTTTCTCTCGGGCGGTGCATAACGTCCCCCGTTCTTATCGGTCCCCCCATTTCGAGCGGTCGCAAAACGCTCCAAGATTGCGAGTTAGTCGCCGTTAACCGCGCTTGTATTAAATTTAAAAAAAAAAGAACACGCGTTTCTGTTATAATCGAAGATCATCAATACACCGAGAGAAAAGTATTTGCATGGTATTTGCGACTCTAATTATACATAGTACAATAATTATGGTTGGGATTCTTATTTTTATAGTTATTATTGCAATATAATATCTATTAACTGTAATATTACTATAATAAATAACAAAATAACCTTATATGCATAATTTTTCAATCATGGTCATTTTCATCATATTTATAGTACGATCTTACTATACATAAATCACAGATCACAGGTATAGTGTATAAAATCATGTATATAGTTGAATGAATGCATGTTAAAGCCATGAGAATAATAATGTAGTATTGAGTCAGCTATAATTCGCCTTATTAAAATAACTATAAAAATATAGTTGGCACCGAAAATAACTAAAAATTATAGTAAAACTGTGATAACTGCAACTATATTTTTTTCTCAGTGTATTCTTTAAAGATCTATGAGCATATAGGAACACGTATAACGCCGTGTAGGGGAATTACTGATGTTTTTCTTTTAATAAAAGACCGCGATGCACGTGGTAGTGGAAATCGCTCGATGTTGCTGACGATCATCTCACCAGCGATTTAATAGCACGTTATTAACGAAGATCACCGTCTAATACCCGCGGATTACGCGGAATTATAGCGTGAATTTTCGATCGGTCATTTTATCGCGCGGACTCGCGCGGACTGCCCGTGATCCCGCCGCGCCGCGCCGGTTCGCCGCATGCTATAAACGCATACCTTAACGAGACCGCAAGAGATCGCCGGCGAACGATAAATTCGCGTCGACGTCGGTGAATTTCACGAGTGGAGAGATTATCGATGGTGGAATCGAGCCGGGCTGATAGCGCGCCGGGATGGCCGAAATTTGTCAGCCGCCCGGATCGTGACGATAACCGCGAGGCTATACGCGTTTAAATTTTTCATTTCGCCGAGAGTTCTCACCGGCGAGGGTGAGTAACGGCGCTCGTTTACGCGCCGCGAGTTCATTTCACTGTTCGCCTTTTCCGTTTCTGTCTCTCTCTCTCTCTACTTATACCTCTCTCTTTTTTTTATTTCTCTTTCTTTTTTTTTCGCGTTCGCAAACTCGGACGACGATAAAACGACCGATGTAATTCCACGACCCGAATTCAATACTCGATACGGCGCCGATAACGGAGGGCCTCCCCGCCGCCAGCTCGCGGCGAATAATATTCATAAGCGGGATTTGCATAAAGCGAGCGTGCTCGCTCGCTCGCTCGCTCTCTCCTCGGAATGAATAATTTTCGTGGAAGTGGGAGGGGATTTTGCGACGTCGCGCGCGCAAACGTAAAAATGTTTGACTGCGGCGCCGCGCGCTGCGAAAATCAATACGCGAGTTTAAACTTAACCCGTTTGGCTTAATGGGCCCGGTTGGCCGTTTTGCGTTTGCGGGGTATTTATAAATTCATCAAGATTAAATTCGCGAGGGTGAGCGCGCGAGTGTCCATTATGCGAGCTGGAGATGGAAATCTAGTACAAAAAGCGCGCGCGGCGCCCGAAAACATTTGGAGCCGTCGCGGGGGGATAATGATATTTCTTTTAATACTCTCTTTATACGAACCTGCTCGTATTTTTCTAATTCTTGATGATAAATTTGCCTAATCTGAGCGAGCTTGGCCCTGTAGTCCGAATGCTCGATCGCGTTGTCCGGTTGCCCGGGTGGACCGGCTGCAGCTGCCGCGGACGCCGATGCGGCGGCTCCCGCACCACCGCCCTTCTCTGGTCCAGCAACCCCCTCGGCGATCAGCATATTATCCAGCCTCATTAGCTGCGGATCTGGCGGCTCTTCTTCTTGCGTGTTTCTCAGTGACAAAACTGAAAACAGACGAAAGCACCACATGAGATAAGGTTGAAATTCTCTTCCTGGGAATATAAACACAATATTAGAAAAAAGACCATTTTTTTTATTAAGTTTCCGAAGAATACTAATTTTACAGAACTGTGACGTTAAAATCAAATTGGTAGTTTTTGTACTTTATACGCTCGCACGTTCTATTCTCTAAACTATTCGAGAACGATTAATCTGACTCGAAGAATCTCAAAGAGGCAGAGACATATCGGAGAATACTGCATGCGTTCACGTAAAAGTCTAACGGGTTGCACACTGAGAAAAAAATGTCGTTAATTTGACTAAACTCGTTTAGTTGTAGTGATTTGTTTAATGCAAATATTAATATATTTAAATCAAATATACGTGAGTAATATTAAGAAATTCTAAATTTATTTCAATATAATATTTTTTGAATTAACAAATGTTAGCTTGACAGCCCGTGACCGCTGCATTTAGTTAAATCAAATAATATTTCTTTGAATCAACGATTTTTTTTTCTCAGTGCAGCAACTCCAGTTTCAGGGTCGCGCGATCATAAAAGAATCAATTTTGCCTCCGGCTTGTCTCTCCCCAAGAGTCTCCGCCAGCCTTCCTCTCGTCTTAAGGGCCCGTTGCACGCAGTGGTTTAGAACGGGTAGTTCTCCGCGGCGTAACAGCGGTTTTATTGTACTTTTACGGCGCATGATGGAGCTGGACGACCCATAAAACCGCAGAGCGAGGGACTTTCTATACCCTACTGCCTTTCGTACACCCCCTCCGGTTTTTCCCGCCACCCTCGCGCGAGGCTCCCCGCCACCACGAGGATGTAACCCTGTCGTCTTCAACAGTTAGCACCCTCGCCCGAAGCAAACGTTGGCACGCAAGCGAACTAGAACTCTCAGCCTCTTTGACGAAGCGTCACGAGAAATCACCGTCAGAGAAGAGTAAACTTTGCACGGATCGTACAAGATATACCTTATTTATCACGTAGCAAGATTATGTCTAGTCGACGTAAAATTTTTACAGATTGCGGCCGAATCTGATAAAATAAAAAATACTAGCGTAATTATATCTGAAGGTATTGTAAAAACCTTGAAAAAAATTTATTGGTAATCTTTGAAAATGAAAGTCGATTTTACGACAAAATTATTTTATATTTATAATCAGTCTTTTTTTTGTGAATATTTTATTATCATTACTTCTTACATTTTCACAAAAACTAGTACGATATAATTTCGTCAGTTATTATATTCCTCTGGTCGCGGTGTGACTTTATGAATGAACTCGCGTTTGCAGTTGCCCGAGTCGCTACTTGAATTCGTTGAAAACTTTTCTCGTCCGCCACTTTTCGCCACGTCTCGCGAAAAAAAGTCCCCGGAGACGTGAAGAAAAGGGGAACGAACGAGACTTCTTTCGTGGGCTCGCGGAGGCGTGAAACGAATGCGCGGAGCTAATGCATTTATACGAAGTGTAACAATTATGCCGGTCGAAAAGAGAGGCTGGAGTTCTGTTTCTTCGGCAAGGACTCTAGGGAGGTTCTCTAGATTGAACGTGCCATTTTAAGCGGCAGGGAAACGTTTTCCCAAGGAAGACATTGAAGCGTTCGTAAATAGTGTAATTTCCGAATTTTTAGAAAGCTATTTTGAAGCTATAATAGCTGCGCGACAATTCACAGAAAATATTTTTTATAAAAGAAAAAAAGCAATATGATTCGCGGTATTTTTGGGAGATATAGCTCCGTTATTTCTGAATCGAGCAAACGCTGATCCGTTATTTCTTCAGACATTTCTTCGAATGGATGACGTTAGAAATTGCGAATTGAATTGCGATGAGGGAAGGCATGGTCAAATCGAACGGGTTCCGGAAATGAAGTCAAATAAGTTTCGAAATCGTAGCACGTCTCGCGGCACTTCCACGGGCAACTTGAGAAGGGGTTAACGACAGTCAACGCGGCCATTAAAACTTCCGTGCGGTGCCGGGAACTTTTCACGGCGCTGTGGGTAATTAAAAATGAAAAACCTCTGGACGGCGTCGCTCGCCCGAAGGCGGCGGAATAAAACGTCGGTTTACGACGATGCGGAAGAACTTGCACCATTGAAAGTTAAAAGGCCAAGCAATTTCGATCGCTGATACGAGCGCTCGTTCTAAGGAAATAAAGGTTTAGCTTCTTTCTTATCTAAAAGATTATATTATTTTTAATCCTTTTTCGGATTGAAAGATTAATCACTTTAAATTAGATTTTTAATCAAATTAAATTATGTATTATTTTTAATCCACAAATTAAATTATATCATTTTTAATCCATTGGTAATTCTTATGCATATTCATTTTGCAACTTATAATATGGTTTGAAAAAAGGAAAAGACACTTGAGAAAAAAAGGCGAAATACCCATGGTGCACAATAATGGACATCCTTAAACAATTATTACGAAAATCGTGTCTTCTACGAAATTGTATAATCCTTGTATTTACGATCTTTTTCCCATTGTAATAAAAATCAGAAATAAAAAAGTTAACAGAACTGCGAATTAAATTGATACCAAATTCATACGTATGAATACATGTATTACAATATCTGGAAATTTTCGTAATGTAAATTCTGCGACGGTGTTCCGTCGTCCCCTTACGTACCCGAGAGCGGAGTATAAGAAAACGCGCGAATTAAACGTTCTTTCGGAATTATTTTCGTGCTTGCAGGGGAGGCGGGCATACAGCGGCGAGATCGGGCGGGGGTGACTGGCTTACGAGCAATAATCTGGCTATTAGGGGGTGTAAGGGGCGGCTCTGCGTGCTGCCACGCTGAAGAGGGGCCAGGGATGGCGGCAGCCTCCTGCGGGGGTCCTTACAAGCGCGTAAACTCAGTTTTACTAGCAGTTAACATTTTACGACTCAGACGGTCTGCTCGAGCCGTTTGCTCTTGCTCTCGTTGCACACCCCACGTCTCTGTCTTTCTACCACACTTTCCTGCTTTTCCCTTTCTCTCTTTCTCTCTCTCTCCCTCTCTCTCTACGATTGACACGTGTGCGACGCGCGGATCTGTATATGGGACACCCAGTATATAGACTCATGCCTGCTAAAACGTAACGCTCGTTTTCGAGAGTCGTTTGCGAATGAAGTACATTAATACAACACCCTATTGAAGGGAGCCTATTCGCAGGCTAATTGCACGACTAATTCGTGTGCCGTGTGAAACGGTCAAGCGATTAGGAAGACCATGACATTTTGAAAAATAATACGTTAACGTTAACACTAACGCCGCTGATTGTAGCGAGTAGCAAATATTCCATGCGTAAAACCGGATCCAGATCGAGCGAGCTAATGAGTCCGAACGGCACCGTAACAACAGCTCGGCGACTTGAAGCATCACAAGCGGATTTTATAATTTCGTGGGTCAAAACTTCGGTTTGATCGGTTGGACCGTCGCTCGCTTTTCTAATAAACATCGCTTTTCAATCGCCTTTCAACATCCAGCGAGAATCGACCTCGTATTTTCTCTCTTTCACGTATATCCGCTACGTATCTGTACCCCCCGTCCAATGTTCCTTCCGTCGCTGTTTTCCACCGCGAAAAGCGGGTAGCGCAGCCGACAACCCTTTGTTATACCGTGCCTTATCTTAATTGCTTTCACGGGTTCCCGTTTAGATCAATACACACCGCCGACGTTCTGCCACCGGTCTTCTCTGTTGCTCTTCGCTCCGCTTCACGAATCTAAATTATCCCGAGGGTTGTGTTTCGTCGCGCGCGCGGATTCCGGCCACCCCGTGGCCCTCCTCCTCTTTCTCTCCCGCCTTTATCTCTCTCTTTCGCTTTCTCTTGCATATTTTAAGAGCGCCGGTTGGTACCCCCGTCGTAAGACTCGCCAGGATGGCCTGAGTTATCGCACACCCGGTGTCGTTCGCGAGATTAGGGGCAGCTTTTCTCTACGACGTTGTCGCCATTTTAACGCGGGCGTGGAAACGAGGTGTGGAAGGAACGTCAGAATACCGAGGATGTCACTTAGATATGCATCTCGGCGCGTACGAACGCGAGATAGCGACAGCGTTATCAATTGTTGAAGTTAATAACTTGCGAATTTTAGAAATATGGGCGGAACTAGAAGATAAAATTATTAAAATTACTTATGCGAGATAACAATTTGGTTTTTTTTTCTGGATGCACCACTTTTATACCATATGAATTATATATTTAATTTGGCTGACCCAGCGCGTTTCACGTAATATCAACTCTATTCCATTCCTTCGTCCGTTTTCCTCACCTTCTCGCCTCCTTTCTCACGCCTTCATTCCCTAATCCGCGCGAGGCAGGGAGAGAAGAGAGGGAAAAAGGGAAGGTGGCCGAGATGGCTGCTCTTTTAATTCGAGGGTGAATCCCGGGCGATAGGGACTCGCTCTCCGAGAGGGAATCGAGAGAGAGAGAGAGAGAGGAGGGAAGAAAGACGCCGGTGGTGTCTATGCCCCCCTGGGATCCGATATCGACGCCCCTACCGTAAGAATATACCGAGCTCTCCTGATTTACGAAGGAAATCGAGACGCCAGGCTCGTGTTTCGAGCGCTCGTCCTCCCTCTTTCGAGACGACGCGACGTGACGCGACGCTAACTCGCGTGCCGGTTTCGAATGTCGAGATGAAAAAAAAAAAAAAACGCGCGCACGCGATAAACGCGCGGCGGAAAATCCTTCATCAAAATCGCAGCCAATATATCCTGTTCCCCGGATTTAATTCGAGCAGCAGTGTAATGTTCTAAACGCGCAATCCGTTGCGTCCCCTCTCATTTTTTCTATCGAAAGTTTCTATGGTGGACTGGTTCGATCACAAGAGTGAGATCGCGAAATAAAAACAGCTCTAATAGTGGCAAAATAAATACTGTAGGAACGGCTGAACAAAATGAAGTAATTCGACGCGCGAACAATTTCGAGATATTTATACTCATCCTCGTGAGAGTAAAATTTTCTCGCGTTTTAATAGGTCGAATTACTTTTCCAGTCGCCTCCGCCGCCTCGTTTCAC